TTTTGCCCGACCATGCTCGTATTTCATGTTTATTTATTTTCTACATCGGAACTTTTCGAAGGTTATATTTTTAGAACCTTGTACCTATAAAAAAAACTAAATAATTTATAAATCCCTACTTTCTGCGGCAATACCATGCTATTCTTAATACATTCCGTGTTTACAACCTAATTCCGTGATTTCTGCGGCATTCCGTGAAACGCAGAAAATCACTGGCCCTGGATTGTATACGTGTCGATCATGGAAAGGAATATCTTCTGAAAAGAGTTTTCATGTCAACGTAGGATAATGCAAAAATTGAGTTCATCATGGACGAAATTGGCTCATAGAAAACTTGTAAAATCGATGTTAATTATTGTATTTTGACCATCTTAACTAACATATTATGACGTTGAAGTCTGAACCAAGAAAAAAAATGTAACAGTATACACAATACTGCGAATGACACGTAAAATGAATAAATTAAATAAAATAATTTAATCATATAATTCAAGCATTCTTCTAAGCTTGATTCGCTACACATTAATAATTCAACTTTGATCGACGACTTTTACCATTAGCCGATAATGATAGCTATTTCAATTTGAAATTTAATATACAGTACATATTTAAACAAAATATATAACATTATACATTATGACAAAAAAATTTGGATAAAGAAATTGATTATTGACCAATTTTTTTTTTTTTCAAATCATATATTATCATAGTAAAATGTATTCATTCGGAGTTTTCAAGACACCTATAAATTCTTTCAATATCGATATTCATTATTTCCAAAAGAAACTTTGTATTTTTTTTGAGTTCAGAGTCCATCTTTTCACCATCAATCCGTTTCTTCAATTCTGCTACCCGTTCATTTATTACTTTATCAATAATTAATTTTCGTTCTTCATCATTTAATCCACAAAAGACCTTGTGACCAACTCGCATTGTCTTACTATCCACATAACTTTGGAATGCGGAACACAATATAAAAATATGCCGCCATAATGAGGTAGGATCATTCTTATTATATGGTTTAGAGTCAAAATAGATATTCACGAATTTTACAAAACTTAAAGGACTAGTGACCATGGCCCTATTTTGACGTGGAATACGGGAAAAGTCTGTATTACGAAGAGCAAGATCAAGCAGCATACACTTAAACGTGCTTGATAGCATTGTCTGTAATAAAGGTACATATAAATCTTTTTGTTTAAGAAAAAAAAAACTTTAATCATAGGATAATACCTGAAGAAATAATTTGAGTTGGGATCGTTTAAATTTGTTCATTTGTTGATATATTTCAGTAATTAAGCTAGATGAACAAATATGACCTGCATGTGAAAGAATAATTATCTAAACGTATCTACTAACGTTAGTATATATTTGGGTTTGCCAATGATTGAGTATATTTATTATCGTTACCTGCTTCAATATTCTCTGAGATAATCGAGCGGTTTCAATGGAAACTTCCTCGTGAAATGGAGATAACAAAGCATTTACAAGATCTTTTATATTAGTACGGACTCTTCCGTAGCTTTTCGGAATAAGTTTCAATAGCAGTGTGGAATTTAATTCCTCTATTCATGAGATGAAATTCTAGTAAATTTTTTTGATAAAATGTCAAATAACAGAAAAAAGATTCTTTACCTTTCTTGACTTTGATATCAATCTCTATTACACTTACTATGTGATCCAATAACATCATAATTCTGTCAGACTGAATAGAAATGTTGGAATTAAAAAAAAAACAACATTGAATGATAAGAAGTGAGCATCATTCGTTAAACAACTCACTTTATCAACCTTTGTAAGAGAAGTAAATAGGTTTTCAATAAATTTCCAAAAGTTTACATAATTTTCCCACAAGGTACCTTGTTCTGCGTCCAATTGTTCAAAGGTCCAAATATTTTGAAATGCTGCATTACCACTTGTTTGTAACACATGTTGTAAAACTTTATAGGATCTTGATGCAATATCATCGTCAACTTGATCGCTTACAATAGTGTCCATTAGTCGCTGAATGTGTTGCCTAATTTGTTTATAAGTTATACGTGATTTAATAGTTCTTCGAGAAAAAAATATATATACATAAAAGACAACAGCCTTACTCAGGTGGATGATAGTGCTGACTTTGACAGGATTCAAGAAGATCAAGCGCCGCATTGTCTATAAAATATATCATAAGTTTCTGTTGACTTGTCGTTGCATATAATGCATTCATGGATAATATATACAGTGGTTTTCCTCAAGACAATTATCTATCAAGGACTGGTACCCGTTAGGCATTGTTTTGGATTGAAGTGGACTTGAAGGAAAGTTAATTAAGGAATTATTGAGACATTCATATAATTCCAAAAGTTCAGGGTGTTTTTCTAAAACTTCGCCTGCAGTCACCACCGTTTCTTCTTCGTCCGACATATGTAGCACATATGAAACACCGGCCTAGAAAGAGATAACCAGTAGGGAGTAAGAAAAAGAAATAGGTTCGCAACTTTAACATCGCGGCTTTGGTACCTCTGAACATTCACTTCCGGAAATATACATCATTGTTTAAAAGCGCGGCAAGTAGTAAATAATAATTTAAGTTATTGTAAATCATTGTTACACGAGACTGAACGTGTGTTACTAAAATCCTTAACTGTTAACGTTATTAAAAAAAGAAATATTACTAATGAAGTTAGGAAAGAGATTTGAATTTAAATTTATCATTTTACTTGAAGAGTTTATGGATAGGGATACTAACATTGTATGGACTAGGTGAGTATTTCTCTCAAAGCTTATCGCGGCAAATTGTTTCGGCAATCCAATGTTTTTTCTTAGTTGTTGATGAAAGAATACGTACCATTAGGTTACATACTTCGAGAAAAGCGACATTATTATGAAGATACAGTACAGTATTTTAGATCTCCAAATACAATACATATTTAAATATTGATCCTAACATATCGATATACCTAACTTTCATAAATGTTAGTTTTCGGTATGATATTAAAAATCTCTAAGCGCACTCTATAGGAACCAAACTTTAATAACATGCATTTAGAAAACAATTTGAATGTCTCACTGTACTTTTGACCAGGATTTTTCTTTTATAATTTTCATAATTTAATTGAAGAAAAAGATTTGACTGTATTAAATTACTACGTATTTAAATTCTTTTTTTTTTTCGGATTTATTATTATTTTTTTTTTTCTTCGTATTTAATTTTTTTTTTCTTTTTTTCGTATTTAATTTTTTTTCGAATTTTTTTTTTATCGTATTTAATTTTTTTTCGAATTATTTCACTTTTCATATTTAAAATTTTCGTGTTTAAAATTTTTTTTCATACTTTTTTTTTCGTATTTGTTTTTTTTTCATACAACTCATTCTAAGAAAAAAAATCTTCACTTTAGCTTTATTGTGAGAATATAATATGTACTTCACTATATCTAATTGAAGTTTAATACAAATAATAAAGAAAATTTATTATAACGATAATATTTTTAAATTGTGAACCCATCACTTGATCTCCATATATATGATCTAAGTTGTTTGGATGATTTGGACCGTACGAAGTTTCTCCAAATACTATTTCATAATTATGCTATGCATAACCGCGCCCCTTGGATAACTGATAAGTTGAGTAGACCTCTTAAAGAAATCTGGAATGGCCAAGCGCAGAGGACGTTGGTAGATCACTACACACGGTCGATGCTGACCAGTTCAGCAAAGGGTCCTTCTTTCCTTTTTCGCAAAAGTACTCCGAGCATACTAATAAAATAATAATGAAATATGTTAAATTGTGAACCGGATTTCTTAATTACAGAGGAGGTGCATAACTGCGGCATAACCGCGCCTCTTGGATAACTAACAAGTTGAGTAGACCTCTTAAAGAAATATGGAATGGCCAAGTGCAGAGGACACGGTCGATGCTGATTAGTTCGGCAAAGGGTCCTTCCTTCCTGTTGTACCCCAATCGTACAACAGTACTCCGATCGACTGGCTTCGTACTCTTACATAGTGATGTGAATCGATCTTTAAATCGGTTAAAATAACCGATTACCACTAGTGGGGGGTTTAAAAAAACTATTCTAATAAAAATAAAACTATTCGAATTAAAAAAAAATCTATTCTAATAAAAGCGACGATCAAAAAATTAGGCCGGGAAATCGTAAAAAAAAAAAACTCCTAATAAAAAAGAAAACTATTCTATAAATTACGCCATATGGCGTCCCACTAGTGGGGTTTGAAAACTAATAAAAAATATATATATATTAATAAAAAAAAATATCTATATTAATAAAAAAATCTATTCTAATAAAAAATACTATTCTAGAAAAAAAAAAAAAAATAGTTAATAAAAAAAAAAAATCGATTCTATAAAAAACTTATTCTAATAATAATAATAATAATAAATAAATAAATTAAAAAAAAAACTATTCTAATATAAAACCAAATAAAAATCAATTCACCCTCTAACGGTACAAAGTTCTTACGTAACGCATAGACTGCAAATGACACATTCACACTATATTAAATACAGAAGCTCACCTTTGTGTTTATCACAGTCATTTCGTTTCATTAATTGGAAAAGTGGTCGTTGACGCCGTGAAGAATTTGAGATCAAGAGCCCTACGCCTAACAAATCGAACCGAAATTAATGAAATACGCATAAGATTTGCATCAAATATAGTTAATCGTTCTTACATTACTGACCGATCAAACGATCGCGTAATCAACACGGCCAATGCTTTCAAGTCCTTTTATGTCTGTTTGGGGGAAAATCGCAAGGCCGTCGTCGATAAGACTTGTTGCCGTGTTGATTTCCTAAAATAAGAAATGTTTAGTTAAAACCGTTCAATAACAATGAGATCATGAAAAAAACTTCTAGAAGAGAACCCCTTCGATACTTAACTGTGCATTTAGACTAGTAACGACGAAGTCCTTCATGTAAGATTCGGCAAGAGCTGCGATGATAAATCGGCTGCTGACAACAAAGATCCTAAACACTATAACCGAAATGGAATCGACGTCAAAAGGAATAACCTTGAAGAAATGTGGACGAAGTTGCAAGGGATATTAAAAACAAGTTAAGGTACCTGTTCTTTAGGTTGCTACGAAACTTTTTTTAAAATTTTTTCACGTATATATTGTTCATAATTTTCTTGTATCCATTAATGTTTCGTATCCAGTGGTGAAGTGATCTTGAAATAATAGAAACGATGTAATTTTTTTTATTTTCGCGAAAAAAGTTAAAAACAATTTCGAGTTGAGAGTTGATTATTTAACTCAATATTTAATATGGAGAAGACGCGCATTTTTTATAACAGTGCGTAATTGAATTGGTAAACAAAGATTTTATTATACGATATTTTATCCGTTTTTGTATATTAGCTTTTTGTTATGATTGGTTAATTTTTATGGATCTACCCGTGATCACCCTATTTTTTGATAAGTATACAATACCGATACTGGGAAAATACAGTATTGGCGAATAATGGAGCATGGTTAGTGATGGGCGATTGATTATTGATTAGATTGGTATTCATATCAATTACTTATAAGAACAAATGTTAATTAATCTCGAATTGATCTAAGATTCGTATTTTCTACTCATGATGCAATAATTATACAATTAATAATTATTGTACAATTTTTATTTAACGTTTAACATATTTAAACTTTCTTTTAAAA